ATAGAGAGAATTGTGTTTTGACTGACAAAATGACAAAACCAAAAAATGCAGGTACAGATTTGATAGACACCTGCACTGTAAAACATTTGAAGATAGTTTAACCTGAAAAAAATCAAGTCAACTAGAATTTTTCTTTTAACTCAGAAATGAAAAACATTAAGTTGATTTAACAACAAAAAATGAGTTATATAAAAATTGTTTATAACTTCATATAGCTTGTTAAGCTTATGTTATAATTTAATGCTGTATTTTAAACCAAGTTATTATTTCACATTATGCAAAAAAAACTGCTTCCATCTAGTTGAACAAGCTCACATTTTAAACTTAGAGTTAATTTACTTATCTTGATTTTTATTCATTTAAATTCTTGATTCAAATTGAACAGCATAAATAAAAACCTGATAATAATAATAATAATAATTAGAATGAATTTTTGCTGAAATACTAATTCTGAACTGAGCTTCAGCAGCGTGAGCACACATCGTCCTCAACCATTAGTAACGCAGGAGGACAGTCAAAGTAACACATGACACAAGAACCTGCCGCTAAGCATCCTGGGAAATAATTCCCACTCCTTTTCCTTCTTTAAGTTTTTTGGGTGCCAACTTAAAAACCCTCATTATTCAACTCCTGCAGACACAATTAGTAAAAAGTTAACGCAGCTTACTGCTATAGGTTTATCTCACACAAATTCACACATTTAAGTTTAAAATGTAAAAAAATTCAAGATTTCTGAGACTGAAAGAGTAAAAGAAAATAACTAAATGCGGCTCAAATGTTTTTGAGTGAACAGTAAAGTACCAGCTGTAAAGCAAACAAAAACCGTTTGATTGGACAAGGCAGCCCAGCTGCTCCGAGTCTGACTGAGATTTAAAGATGATTTTTAAGGAAAATCCTAATTCTACTGTAACTACTGAGGTCCAGAGGTAGAGCACCAAGACGACCCACTGGATGTTACCAGAACCACAGATTGGGAAAATCAATGAAAAAAACAAACTTCATACACAACCAGAAACAGACATGTTAAAAAAACACGGCTGTGAAATTACAGTTCAAGAATGCAATGACAACATCAGATACGAAAAATATTCTCTCCTCTTTGTCATGTACTTTAATATCTAGGCTCCGTTATTTAAGCTGGACATTATCAGCATAAGTGTGATGCAACACAAACAGACGCAGCTCTTCACAGGAAGAATAGAAAAGGAGGAAAATAGTGGTTGAGTTCCTGGAAAGTTCACCAGAAAACGTCTGAACTTCTGCAGGAAACACAAGTTCCCATCAAAGAACAACAAGCAGAGGAACATTAATAGCTGCAGATTCTTCATATCATCATCGTGATAAAAACACGTTTGCCTCACTGAAATCTAAGCATGTAGAAAACCATCTGATGTTTGACAGAAACCATTTACGATTCTGTAAACAGAGCGATGATGTCAAAGGCGATGGGAGCCTTTAATAAAACCCAGAGAACAAACATTAAATGATGACATCAGTCAGAAAGCATAGCAGCGCTGAGGCGAACGCTGCAACCACAAACCGCTGCAAACAGAGTCAGGGGGAATCTGCAGCAACGCCATGATGGACGGACTGACAAACACACGCACACAAAGAAAATAGTTTACCATGCAGAATAAAGCCAACATGCCGACCGGCGTTTTGGATTTTCTCCGTCCTCCAGTGTCCCATCAGTGTCCCACACTGGCCAAATATTTTGCCTGAAGCTGTTCTGAAGTTTAGATGTTGGTTTCTTGTTTTTTCTAACTCTGCTCCAGCAGTTGGGCCTCTGATGTCTCCAAAAGAAAAAGTGTGCAAAAGCCAGCGGGGAGAGGTCAGAGCCGCGAGCATCCAAGCATTTCTCCTGTTTTTACTGCACATTCTTTTCAATCAGGACCGGCCCGAACAATCCCGCAGCGAGGCCCGGCCCGGCCAATCAGCACAAACCGTCCGTTTGAAAGTTTCACTGATACACACCCAATCGTTTATAACATCAACCGTAGCAGAGACCAAACGTCTCAGTTTTTTCTAAGAGGTTCAGAAAAGTTTTCTTATCTGTGTGAGTTTTTAGATGTTTGGACTTTTATCTGACAGGAACTCAGACAAGGCAGCAGAACTCAAAGGAACTAATTTAACTGTAACTCACAGTGATCTACTTTCCTATGAGAATGAGGACTTCCAGCAGATGGACTCTCTAGTTTGTTTCAGTGAATCCAACTCATACATCGTTCTGAACCGGAAGTGATCTGCACCACTGAACCGTCATACTGCCACTGCCAGGCGGCCACCACCACGCTGCAACCGCCAGGCGGCCACCGCCAGGCTGCCACCGCCAGGCTGCCACCGCCAGGCTGCCACCGCCAGGCTGCCACCGCCACGCTGCAACCGCCAGGCGGCCACCGCCTGCCACCGCCAGGCTGCCACTGCCAGGCTGCCACCGCCAGTGACGCTGTTCTACAACTGTTCTCACATTATGTCTTTACTTCTGTTATTTTCTTCTTTTTCTTGTTTAACTCAACACTTTCTTCTCAACTTTAAATAATTTTATTTTCCCTTCTTTGACCTTTTTGTCGTTTTGTAAATCCTTTTCGTTCACTTCACCTTATAGTCCCTTTTTCTTTTTTATCTTCCTTTGTATGGATCTTATTTGTTTCCTATTTAACATTTCTTGACATCATATAAAATGTCCTACTTTGAAAAAACTTTAATAGTTTATCTCAAACGTATTTATGCAACTGAAGCTCAAGCTTCAAACTTTAAAATAATTCATCTATTAATTATAATCAATCACTAAGGTATTTATCTGTTCACTAATCTAAACCTGAAATAAACCTTTTCTCTTCAACATTTAGTCTCTTTTCTATAGAAAAATCTAATTTGTCTGTTTATTCAGAGTTGAAGCGTAATCACCGGAGGAAAACGGAGCATTTGTCACGGCGCCTCGGGTCAGAGCGATGCAGGATTATTCCTCCGTAACTCTTCCTGGAAGGAGATCAATTTATCTCGTCGTAAAATACTGCAGCACCAGAAAATCCTTTACTGCTGCATCCAAACGTAACGGCAAGTATCTCAATTAAAGCTGGCGCTTCCTGAATGCCATAGACAACATGACACAAGCTCCCTGATTGGCTATAGGACAGACATCACTTCCTGTTTTGGGGGGCGTCAATAAGAGCGTTTAGCAGCCGCTGGTTTTAATGAGATCTGTGTGCACCGTTTCTTCATCGATAAACCTAATGACCGGTTGCAGCCTGGCAGCCGATACCGTGGCAACGGTTAGAGGCAGATTATCGGATCAGCGTTTCTCCAGGGCCAACGAGATCCAAAGGCTTGTTTTTGGGCCAAACAGGGTCCAGAATAAACGCTCTGGGTCCAAATAAACTGTGCCAAAAAATTACTGACAGAATTTATTAGATAATAAGTGGCATAATTTCGTTCTGTAAAATGTTTCCATACAGGTCTGCCCAAAAATCTGCAGTCACTCAACATTTCAAAGTGGAGGGAAACGGTCACTACACATTTCCAAACCTCCAAACTTTTCCAGACAAAATCCATTTTGTGCCTAGACGACATCAGGCCTAAAACAACGATCTTCAGAAGATGAACGGATCTGAAAGTCGAGTCTTTAAGAAAAGGAAGAACATCAGGAAGGATCAGATTACTCAGCTGGTTTCTGATGCCGGGTTTTCAGCCAGCAGTTCTTTTAGCTAAAATCTACTCGTTATCTTTCACGTGTTTCATAATTTCAACGGAAGAAATGGAAATAAATCCTGTTAGCGACCGACAGTTCCTCATTGGATTAAAAACATCATTAATAAACCTTTTCCTCCTCCATGTTTAGGTTCCGTTTTCTGCTGCCAGTTTCGGCCATTGTGACCCCTCGGTTCCGCTGACCTCTGACCTCCTGCAGGATCCCCTCCACCGTTCAGCAGCAGAGAGACTGATGTCCGGTCAGCAGCGCCAGGCTGACCTTTAGCGGCTCAGTCACCGGGGACTCATCTGTCTCTGTGTCCGTCTCCCAGCATGCCTCAGTCCCGCCCTGCTGTCTCATGCTAATGCAGCTGTTTCTAACGGCCACATTGACTTTCTCCTGCCTCTGTATGTAAATACAATCTGCTCTGATCAATGATCTGAGACGGGACATGACGGCGGCCATGACACCTCACTGCTAACACAGACATGCATCCCTCACATCCAGTTTGAACTTTAAAAATCTATTAAATGATTACATTTATCAGCGCTATGATGAGATCAAAAAGTGTAATGATGGATGTTTGAGGTCATGTCAAGTAAGCCTAGCTCAGATAAGTAATACTTATTTACATAAGTAAATAAGTAACTAGTTACTTATTTACTTGGAGTAAATGTAACTAGTTACATTTACTCCATTGCATTTACTTCAGTCACTTTTTCAAAACATATACTTATTGGAGTATTTTTATAAATTTTATTATGAAGTATTTCTACTCTTACTTCAGTAAAATTTCTGGATTTCTACCCATTGAATGAAAACTAACTTATTTTAGCCATAAATTCACCAGACACAGACACACCTGCAGTTTTTGTTAAAGTTTCATAATTTTTTATTATTATTATTGAAAAAAACTGATTTGGAAAAATTTTCTTCTGCCTGATTTTGTTACTTATATGAATTATTGCCATTTTCAGCCTTACAATACAAAAAAATTCCACTTAACTTTATATTTTGGTCTGTCTGATGATGTAATTCTTAAATATCAAATGATTGATAATTTGATCAGTTACTCAGTACCTAAGTAGACCTTTTACCAAAATATTTTTTACTCTTATTTGGGTAATTTTCTAGACAGATACTTTTTACTTTTGAGTAAAATCAAGTGCAAGTCGTGCCACTGTGACTTGACTGCAGTTTTTGGGTTCTCTGCCACCGATCTTTAGAACTGTGCATATTTTCTTCAGCATCGTCTCAGTTTGACCTGATCCAAAGTTTTTGTCGTCACTCTGAGGCGTTGGGATGAACTCACCTCCCACAGGTGTCTGGTGTTCCTGACGGCCCCGGAGTGCAGTTTATCCACCAGGAGGGGGACGCCCTGGAACGGGCCGATCCAGGTTCCCTGAGGGATCCTCTGGGCGGCACAGATCCCGTAACCCAGACCGGGAACCGTACTGGTGCAGAGACACACCTGCAATTAACGAGGAACAGCTAATTAAAACTCTGCAGTCTGGCTCTTTGATCCACAGCTTAAAAATAATGCAGCAGAAAGAATGATGGAGATAAACTGAGTTTCACTGAGAAACCTTTATGTTTCATCATCTAATCATGCTTTATTCTTATTCTTAACTTTATTCATCTTTTTGTTATTTTGATTTTTTTTTTGTTGTTTTATTTTGTTTTCAGATTAGGTGTGTCACAACAACAAAATTTTCTGATGATAAATCATCTCAGAAGTTATGGCAATAAACGATAATATTGTTATTTTGAGACCATTTTCAATAACATAATGACAATCGCCTAATAATACAAGAACACATTCTGAAAATCAATAAGCTTTAAATTCTGATCAACATTTAACTCGACCTGGAAGACATTTTAAATACACAAAATAAATTAACAAAGCAACAAATAAAATGAATTATGAAGTCTGTGTAAACAAAATTGTCCTTCAAAACAGAGCAGACTGAAGACTTTGTCATCCAGTTTTTGGAAGAAAGAGAAAACAATTATTCTAAAAATGGAAATTTATTGAGCTCATTTTAATTTATCATTATTAAATTATACATAGTGACAGGTCCAATTCAGATATTATCTGATAGTTTACATTTGTGTGTGCAAAGAACTCATAAAGCAGAGTAAAAATAAAATTTGATCAGTAAATTAGAGGCTTAGCAACACATTAAATTTGTAGCCTGAAAATATTAACTTTGTCTTTATCTTTGAGCCTCAAGATTTCATCCAAACAAACAAATAGTTCACTTTTCAGATGACAGACAGGTATGTAGACGTCACCTCTCTGGGCAGATCCCTCAGCCAATCAGGGACATCCGGCAGAGGAACTGGCGCTGCAGTGCTGCTGGTGCCCACCAGGCGGCGCAGTGAGTGAAGAGGGCCGTGCATCGGACACTCGCCGTTCCTGTTATCTGCACACATGTCGCAACCTGCAGAGAAACGGAAGGATTTTACAAAGTTTAACTGTGTGCTCTCCATTAGTTAGGTTTCCGAGTGAGACTTTTGATTTATTTAGCTTGAATTACACAACTGGGTTTAGTCACCAACACATTACTCAATTAGCAAAACAGTCGTTCAACAAGAGCAGAATCAAATAAAGCAACATTTCCAAATGTTCACCACAAATTATCAAAAGATGTTACAATTATGCATTATTTACAGCAGAAAATAGCTTTAAAATGTCCTGTTCAATTAAAAACTACAGTGTGAATCAACTGACACCTCCTAACTTCCTGTTCACCAGATTTAGACACTTGTTGCCAATTTAGTGCTCAAAATTTTAAAGCTCAGGAACTCCAGAATGTTGATAATTTTCAGTGTCGACAGATGATTACTATTTCAAACTAGTTACAGTTTTTTTTAATCTATTTGTTCATCATTAAGGTTTTCTGAAATGTTATGCTATGCTATGCGTCAACATAACTCCAGAAGTTTCTGGAAGAAACCATTAGCTTAGAGCTGCTAACGCTAGCAAGCTCAACTATAACTGGAAGCAAATCTTTTAAACTTTATTTTTATTCCTCAGAAACCTCGCACGGTTAGAAACACTCAAACAAAATAAATAAATAAAACAACATAAACAATCTACAACATTTCTAAATAACTTACCAGCGTCTGCTTTTGTGAGAAACAAACTGAAACAGAAGGTTAGTACGGAGGCCTCTAAGGGACATGGGGGGAAAAAAATATTTTTGCGTTACCTCGCAAAACTTACAGCAGTATTTACTGGTCTATTTTGTATACAGTCACAAATATCAATTTAAATTTTCAAATCTATAAACATTTAAAGAGCCTCAGTGAAAACGTGTTTATATATTCTTGACTCTGGTGCAAAAATTGATTGAAAATCGATTTATTTACTGCCTGTTTATGTTTGTGTGAGGTTGAGATGGAACTGCAAATGAAAACAGCCCTTTATTAACCATTCAGATTATCAACACAAAAGAGACACAATCAAAACTGTCAGATATGACTTTATTACCCTGTGCCTATAACTCAGAAATAGTCCAGATAGTTTGTATATATATTTTTTTCTTTCCTTCTTACTCAAAGTTTGTTTACATCTTAAAAGAGATGGAAAGCCCATGTTTGGTCTGTTTTGCTTTTGCACAAAGGTTTGTGGTGCATTTCTCTCCTAAAGAAGAAATAAAACTTCAGAGATCTCACAAACAAGGACAAACCTTACGAAGCCTTATATGACCACCGTAAGAAAGACTTTCAGTATTCATTTATGCCGCATGAACTGATCAGTACATTATTGCAAAGGAACGCAAAAGAAGAAGAAAAATTTTCCCATGCATTAATTTATGTATCATTGTTCACATTCTTTTCTCAATTTTATTTATTTATCAATTCACCTATTTGTTTATTTATTTGTTCACTTTTTTTAAATTTCACTGACCTGTTGACATATTTCATTATTTATGTATTAGCTTGGCTTTTCATCTAATAGTGTGTTTAGTAGTTTTTTTTCTATATTTTTATATTAGCATTGTTTGATATTTTATTCAGTATTAGGTTTTCCTCGTGTGTTTTTTACTCACCTTCTTTAAAAACCGGACTTTTAGTTTTCAATCTCCAGGCCTTAAAACAACCTACAGGCAAGTCAACGGTTTGGCCCCGTCTGCTTTAAAACCTTTTTTTTTTAACGCTCCACGGGACTTATTTTGTTCCTGACTGTGTGAAAAACTGAAACTGATGAAAAAAGGATCCTGTTTCCACAATAAAGTCCAAATGAGGGGAAAAAGTCCTCTGTGGTGTTTTTCTACGCTAATGTAGCGCGCAGCATATTGCCTGGAGTTAGTGAGTGTCAACATTTACTTACAGATGCAGTCTGACAGTAATGGATGCTAATTGACTGTAGCAACATAATGAGAGATGATTATCTGGACAGAAAACTCCCACAAAGGCTGAGAGAAACAGGATGTGAATGTTGTTTTTTCTGACTTTCCCAAAATGAAAACATTTTCCATTTGATAGACTGGCAGCTGCTTTTACACCATGATGAATGGGAGTTAATTAAATCATATTAAAGTCATTTATTAACCGCAAAGTGCAGCCCTGGTTCATGGCTGAGTAAATGGGAAAAATTCTCCATGTGTTTCTGTTAATGATGGTTTTTTGTTTGTTTTTGTTTTGATTTTAAGGACAGAAATCTGGGATTCACCTAAAGTGGAGACATTTGCGTGAGGACTCAAAATGTTTCCATATGAGTGTAAGAAAACCAACGAAATCATTTAATAGCCAGAAGCTTTGCAGGGATACGATAGTTGTGTTTTAAATACTTTCTGTTTTAGGAAGTTCATTACAAAATGTTTTTGTGGTGGTATGAAAAAATAGTAAAAAAAATATATATTTATCATATTTTTTCCCAGAATAAGAACAGCTGAAACTATAAAGAAATGCAGATGAAATCCATCCATTGATACAATTATCAGCCTAGTTGCTCCAAAACCTGAGCTAAACCATTTTCCTCTTATGCTAGCAAAGAATCATGACATCAAAATGACAGAAAACTGCTGCTAAAAGTATTTCAGCTGAAAAAACAGATTTATGAATGATCAGAAAGTTCAAGATACACAGAAACCTCAAGAACAGGTTTCAGGTTCTCCAGGAAGAATAAGGACGGACTGCAGAAGGAAATCAGGCCCACAGTGACCAAAGTTAGATTGAAACAGAAAAACCTAAAAAAAAATCATTCAGAACAGCAAGAAATGAATCTGATAAAAACAACAAAACGCAGAGTCAGAGAGGCGACTGAGACCCAAATCAGACTTTTTCACAGCACTCTGAGTGACCCAGTTCTGATATCCAATGCGTGCCACTTCCAAATGTGGAAATAAATCAAATATGTATCTGATTGTTTTCGAAGCGTCTACAGCCTGAACACTCATATCGCATTAATCTGACGTTTACGTCATTGTTGTGAGACATGCATCCTGATTCTGCGCCAGAAGAAGCCAGAAGTGATGTAAACAAAGGCTGAAAAGACTTATGAAAGCAGTCAGAGTCAGAGAAATGCATCACATCACAACCCCACCAGGATAAATGATAAACCATATGATAAATGTCCAACCTGACCTGGAAGACATGCTAGCAGCTACAAACACGTTGAGCTGTTATTTTATTCTGTTCTTTCTAAAACATAAACCTCCTCACACCGGACGCCGCCTCAGGATTACATCAACAGCTTTTGTCCTGAACGGTACGGAGCTGTGCTGATGAGGCTGAGCTGAAAACGGGTCGGCTCATCTGTGATTCAGACTCGGTTCTCCGGTCCACCTCCAGCAGACGGACTGAGTCGCTCTGTTCCCAGAACTCTCAGAGGAATCTGAGGGGAACTTTCTAATTTACAGGATTGCTGTTGAGAGCTATTTAATGGTTGTTCTAATTGAAACATTTTACACTGTAGTAATGAGAATTAGCCGGTTTCACAACACGCTCTGTGACTCCCATGTTAAGATTTTGCATCATTTCCTGACCTGCTGCCAGCTGAAGCATTAAAACCAGAGGTTCAGTAACAAACTCCTGGACTCTCCCTCAGTCCAATCATCTGATGATGATTATGGATGATATCTGTGTTTGTTTGCAGTTTAGATGAAGAGCGGCCACACACTGAGCCCAAACATATTTATCTGATCCGGACTCTCCTGGATGACACTTTCTGGGCTCCTCGCTAAAGGCAGCAGGAATCAGGTTGAACAAATAAAAGCCTTTATTGGTTAAAGGTGAGACAGAAGCAGTTTAAGCCCACAGAGAAAAATGCTTGAAAAACAGCTAAAACCCCCCAAATAAGTTAAAATTGACTCTTTAAAGAAATAAATTACGTATCTATGCAATAACACAGCGAATGCCGAGTGCAGAACCTGTCAGAACCAGTAGGCGGTCCTCTAAGCAGCAGAAACTAAACATACGATTTGAGTAAAAATCTGATGTGCAGGATCACAGACGTCCTCATGACATTCCAGCCACTGATTGGACAATTTTCACATCAGATTTATAGTGTTTTCACACCTGGTAGCCTGGTAAACTGGTCAGCTGGTACCAAAGTTGCAACATCTGTTCCATCTCCAGCTGCTTTGGTTCTGTTTCTCTCTGCTCTCAGTCAAACCAACCAAACCCCCTCAGTAGCCTGTTCCCCTCCTCGCCTGTGGGGGCGCTCCACCAAAAACCACTGCAGGAAACAACATGAAAACCTCCGTGGCCCCGAGTGGCCACCTTTGGAGGACGCCACTGCACACTTTCCAATCATTGGTAAAATTAAAGTTGCAGCATTACGTTAAGTTGATTGTTTTTTTTTTTTTTTTTTTAGTTTTACATCATGTTTTGTTTTTCCCTCATCAAAAACACACCTGGAGTGTTACCTTGATTCCGTCATGCATGTTTGAGAAATAATTCAATTTCCATGGCAACTATAAAGCTGCAAAACACCTGGGTGGATCTAGCCCCGCCTTCAAGGTGCAGCTCCTCCTCTGACCTGCAGTTTCCAAGCTAACGAGTTTCCATCTCACAAAGCAGCCCTCCACCGCGACTCCCCCACCCAGCTCCTTCAGACTAGCCAGCAGCAATTAGCAAACACCTGTGGAACTGCATGTACTGAGCTCAATAAAGGAGCCACTTCTCAGTGAAACGCTGATAAAACATTGCTAAAGGTTAATAGAGGAGCCATGTTGAGATCACTTCCTGAAGGTTGAGTTTCAGAAAGAGCAGGAGTTTTTAAAGAGACAGAGGCCCAATTTCAAAACATTAAATCAGGAAGTAAATTTTGTGTTAAATCATATTTTATATACAGTATTTTTATAGAAACTGAAGGTAACATAGTTACATCATTGTGCTACAAAATGGCATTAAGTGCCTGGAAAAGACAAAATACTGGCCTTTCAAGTCCAAATCAGAAATCATTTCGTTTTGGAAGCTGAACCTTTGCTCAGTTAATTAATTTTGTTTAAAGTAAAACTACCATGAATTAAACAGGTTTCAGTCAAAAGAACAGAAAATGTTCTTATGATAAATAATAAGAACAATTAAAATATTGAAGGTTGTCTTCAAAGCTGACAACTTTCATCATTAATTTAAATATTAATTTTGCTTTTTCAGGTTTAAAACTCTGAATGTGAGAAAAAGAAAGATGAAAGAAACTGAACCAAAAGAAGATGAACCCAGATAGAATGTCTGTAGAACCGACAGAACCAGCAGAACCCATCAGGTCCTGCAGCAGGCAGACCCGCTGCGTTTCCTCTGAACGCTTCAGCCACGAACGAGCTGCTCTTCATCGTCCCGTTTCTCCTCATCCTCCAATAAAACCACGTCTGACTGGATCTGACCAAACGGCATCTTACTTAGAAAAACACTGAAGATGTTCCAGGTTTAATCTACCAAACAAAAAGTCCAAATTCTGCCTGTTTTTCTGCTTTCACTCCTTTTCTTTTACAGGAAACGCTTAAATCTACGAATTCTGAGTTAGAATATAGGAAAAGGATAAAATGTTCCAAATTTATTTACTTTCTAACTTCTTTTTTTATCATTTTATACACCTTCCCAAACACTAAGGTGTAGACATTAATGTGTCTCTTGTTAAATTTACAGTTTGGCATCTTTGTGTTGCATTTACTTCAGTCGGCTCTTTAGGCCTTTTGTGGTTGTAATAAATCAGATTTTCCTAAAAGTTTCAAACCCAAACTACTGGAAAATGTTCAGTTTTAAGTATGAATTTAAATGTAACTGTCGCAGTTGGAGTTCAGTTTGTCCTCTAAATGAAGCCATGATGGAGTGAAATGTGTGATTAACCCTTTAATCTTCTTGAATGTTTACATTAAAATTTAAAAATATTTTTTCCCCTAAAGCAAATCATTTTTTTCTTCATTAAAACTCAAATATTTACTGAATGATGACAAACAGATGAGCAACTTTAAAGGATTCAGAGGAAAAACTGAACTCACTTTATTTAGGAACAATTTTCTCCTGCTGAAATTTATTAATTCATTTGCTTTTCAATAAACCTTCTGAAAATTCTAAAATAAAATCTAAAATAAAGGAAAATTCCAAAATGTCTGAAATTTTTTTAAATAAAAATGTAACTAATTTTAAACTGATATCCTGCTGCGTGCTTCATTAATTATCTTTATAATTATTAAACTAAAACACGTGAACAGTTGATTGTTTTATTAATTCAAATACACTAACATTGAAAATTTAAACTAATCACTACAGACCTAAACAGAAATTATTAATTTAAAGACTAAAAGTGACCTGAATTATTATTATTATTATTATTGGTTCAATTATTATTGGAGGTCACACAGTGACGTGAGTGTGTGACTTTATCTACACCTCCCCCCCCTCCACACACACACACACACACACACACACACTCACCCCAGAGACCTGCATACGGCCGTGTTGGGATGATAAATAGCGGGCCGGCAGGCCGGTGGATCGATCTTCCTCCCCCTCTCCTCCTCTTCCTCCCGCTCTTCCTCCCCCCTCTCTCCTCCACAAACACAAAACTATATACAGCAATTAATTCCTGCTTGTCCCTCCATCCCTCATCGGGCCTGCCGGAGCGTATTGACTCAGATTACTGCTGATGGTCCGTTTTATCACCGCGGGATGAACAGCGAGGGGCGGCGGGGCTTTTAGGCCCGCAGACAGCCGGGAGGAGGAAGAGGAGGATGAAGGTGATGCGGCAGCGGCGCGGAGATGATCTGAAAGATGTTGGAGGTTTTTGATCCAGAAGATCAGAGTCAGAGCTTCCGGCTTCCGGTCCTTCCGGAAGGTTTTCTCTCCGGATCAGAATAAATCATCCAGTCCGACTGATGCTGCTCATAAAGCCGCTAATGTGGCAAAAAGGAGCAAAAAATCCTCCACTTTTCACACCGAGAACTAAAGTTAAACTGGTAAAATAAACGACTAAAATGTCTGTTAAAGTTCTTATAGTGAGGCTTTATTATTCAATTAAATTGAGTTTGAAAAACATTTATGACAACCATAAAGTACAAACAAACATTTCTCCGATATCAGTAGATAATGTATTATTATTATTATTATTATTATTATTATTATTATTATTATTATTATTATTATTATTATTATTGAGTAAAATCCTTAAAGATAAAAACAGTGTAGTCGCTCTTTCGGAAACTACAACCGACTTCCGCTCCGTGAGCAAAACAGTTAAAAGTTTAACAGATTCACGGATCAAACCCTTTATTAAGATATTTATTAATTATTTTACGTCTGCTTGGAGACGCCATCAGCGAGGAGCTGTTAATAAGGAATCGATGTAATCGATGACGCTTCGATTAATTATTACTTCCTTAGTAATAATATTTAATTAAAATATTTGATCATAGGAAGAAATAATATATTTTCCTGCCACAGGCCCTGAGCAGATATGTTATTATATGCACAGAAATATGAATCAGCATTTCACTGAATATTGTATTTTTACACTGACTAAATATAATTAAACCTGCACTGAAACACACATTAATTTGAAATATGTGCTAAATAATTGAAAAAGTAAAAAAAATAAAAATAAAAAACGGTTAAGTTAATATTAAAATGTATTTATTCTAACAAAAACTTAGGTTTGTGCATAAAAATAGCAAATGTCTACAGTTTTACACAGTTATTTGCAATATTGGAACAAACTGCTCATATATTTTTTAAACTCTTATTATTTATTATCTACAGTGACTTTGTCTTCTTCTTCTGCATTTATCTGCGCGCTCTAACAGGAACTTCCGCCTTTCAGCTTAGGAAAATCATAAAATATAAATTATGAAGTTTTGTGGAAACAGAACAATTCACGAGAAATGAACTGATCCCACGGGGGGCGGGGGGGGGGGGGACACGCGCCTTTAAATTGATCCCGCACGTGCGCCGCTTCAAAGGGCCGCTTGGCGTGCGTTGTGACGGAAGAGCGCGAGCTGAACGCCCCACGCCGCGGGGAGGAGAGTCTCAGGCCGCGTGCGCGTGGAAGTGTGAGTGGTTTTTACGCATGAAGGGACTCTGTCAATGTCGGTCCACGCGCACGAGCGCGCGCAACCACAGGAGGTAAAAACTGAAGCCTGAAGAAAAGATAAAACTCTGCGTCAAGGATTATTTATAATAAATTATGATAAGCTGGGAAAATTAGAAAAATAGACAAATGTTTTCTCTTCAGATGAGCAAAAATAATTTAACTTATTTATTTGATTTCGACAAATTATAATTAGAAATGGAAAACAGGCAGAAAAGATGTAATTTAACAGACAATCTGCAGGTTCAGAGCCTGCTGGGCTGCTGGCCTTTGACCTCTGACCCTCCACACCCCAACAACCTTCCTCCTCCTCCTCCTCCTCTTCCTCCTGCTTCCGTTTATTTTTCACCTGATTCTGGTTTTAATCAAAGAAAATGTAAAATTTCAGATTTTTTTTAGAAACTCAATGATATGACAGAAAAAAACTGAATAAAGTTTTAAATGAAAAACCATAAATATGACGTAAAGCACTTTGAACCGCCATGCTGCTGACTGAAACATTACGTTTAATATTTTTAAATCATTAAATCAACTCACGCTGGAAATCTGCAAAATTATTTCAATTTAGAAAAATTCTTAAGAGCTTTTTATGCTGCTGAATGTTTTCATGTGGAGATAACAGATCAAAGGAGATCTAAAGCCAGAGAGGTTAAAGGTCACAGACTGATGGGTGGATGTCTACAGAGCGCGGCAACATCTGTGTGTGTGTGTGTGTGTGTGTGTGTGTGTGTGTGTGTGTGTGTGTGTGTGTGTCGTACGGTTGTTGAGCTCCCCGGTGTGGTTGCTCAGCGGGATGATCTCCATCCTCTGCTGGCCGTACAGGTAGTAGTCCAGCTCCTCGGAGGTCAGCTTGCATCGCCCCCCCGCAGCCTTCCCACACTCCTCCGCGCCGCCGCCCTTCACGCTGGACGACACCACCCCGACCGCCGCGCACCGCTGCTCCTTGGCCTGCTGGAGGAGCTCCGCGGCCGGGTTGTGGCCCTGCTGGTTGTCCGGGGGGACCACCACCACCAGGTCCGCCGCGGCCCCCGGCGCCGGGGCCAGCGCCTGCCCGAAGAGCGCGATCTGCTGCGGGACGGGCAGCTGAGCGAGGCCCGCGGGGGCGGAGATGGAGGAGGAAGAGGAAGGAGCTGCGGAGGATGAGGAGGCGGAGGAAGATGAGGAAGAGGATGTGCAGGCCAGGAGGTGCGCGTGCAGGCGGGACGGGCGCAGGGCGTCCACGGCGATGGAGAGGCGGTCTGGTGGAGGCGGAGGCGGTGGCGGGGCCAGCGGAGCCTTGAGCTGGGCCTGCGGGAAGAGCTGCTGCCAGTGCTGCAGGTAGGACGGGTCCACCTTGAGGAAGGCCGAACCGCTGGGGTCACCCGGCTTCAGCATGGCGGCACTGCGGGGGTCAGAGGGCGCCATTAAACACAGAGGACACAAAACCAATCAGATTCATTCAGAGTCCAGAAAAACAAAAAGAACCGGTTCTTTACTGTCACTCAACTTCAGTCAGAAAGGAGTTCACTTTGAACTGAGATTTATTTTCTCAATGATGTCTGACCAGTTATTCTTCAGGACAATTATAAAAAAATAACTTCATGACAACTATATACATTCATACAAATGAATATAAATATATCAATTTCTGTAGATTTATATAAATATATATGAATCAATACATTTTCCCACAAATGAAACAGATTTAGTTTTACACATTTAAGGCAGTTTTTCTAAATTTATCCAGATAAAACATAATAATTTCCCCCAACAATCATACTCATACTTAGAAACTTAAAAAAATTTATATTTATCCATATAATTATCAGGTTTTCTGGAGATTCTGTTTAGTTTTGGTTGAAGTTTAATTGTTGTTTTTGTTTTGCTTTAACTGTAAATTGGATCATTAACTCTTGCGCACTGTGCGCTTTTATTTAAAGGAAACAGAGCAATTCAAAGGACATTAGCTTCAGAGATTGATTTCCTATTGGTAAAAAGTGTCAGGAAATCCATGAAATCTCTGCTATGCTTATTAGCAAATTAAAATAAATCAAATTATTTAAAACAGGAGAAATAATAAAAACGGTCCTGTTTCTGAAACGTTTCTGAAGATTTGCAGTTTTGACCCAATAATTTACTTTTCTAGATATACTTTAGTCATTGTTTGAATAAAATCTTTCGCCTGTTGCAGTTTAATTAATTTAACTCTTAAACAGGAAACACTGCAGCTTTGTTGTTTTATTTTACGCGCAAAAACGCGTAAAACCCAAAACAGTGCAGGCTCACCTGCTCTGTCTGAAGAGGTTCAGCAGCCTGCTGGAGAACGTTTCATCGGAACCAATGAACTGGAGATCCGTTTGGGTCCAGCGGAGACCAGCGGTGCGCCGCTCCGAGCGCGCCCCGGCAGAGGCAGCAGTCGGCGGGGTGAAGACGTGGGGAGTCTCCGCTGATGTTCCTGATTTATTCCGGGCTTGTTTTTAAAGCGGAAGTTGTTTAAAAAGCTCGGATCGGTTCCGAACCGACCGGGTGCTGATGTCCAGTCAGCGGGGAGCTTCTCTCCACCTCCAGGCTGCAGAGAACCAGCCGGGACAGTCCGCTGCGTCCAGCGCGTCTCCGCAGCCAAAACTGCTCGACCCGCTCCTCCTCCTCTCTCTCTCTCTCTCTCTCTCTCTCTCTCTCTCTCTCTAAAACACACATGTTGTTTCTCTCAGCCTCTTTTCTTTAAACTCACAATTCTCACATTTTTCTCAGTCAGTCCTCTTTTTCTCCATCCACATTTTCCCCAAAACTCCCACAGCTTGGACTTCCGGTTCTCCTTATCTCTCCTGTTTTTTGTTTTTCTTCAGGTCTGTTCATTCAAAGAGTCTTCAACGTAAACAGATAATTGGGTCGGAACCGGCTGGATTCCAACTGTCTCTGCATCAGCAGTAATAGATATGATAGCCCGTTCTTTTAATTATTGCCTTTTTCACCCAAACATCAAGAGTTTTGTCCAAATTCTCTGGATTTCAGATGTTCCGAACTGATCCTGAAATTTTAATTATGCAGAAATAAAGAAAACACTGAAACTCTCTTCAGTTTTTATTCCGGCCAGTAAAAATGAACTTTAGGTTCATTTTAGGAGCTAAACAGAAAACGCGCATTACCACCAGTAGGCGGCGCTATTGGCCACTTTTCAGACAATATTTACCAAAACCAGAAAAACTGATTGATTTTCTTTGCTGTTCATATTTATTGGGCAGGAATTAAAATGAGAAATAACGAGAATCGTTATGTAGTACCACTAACGACCAACAGGGGATGACTCAATGACGTCACTGCCTCCATCTCAGGTTTGATCAAGAAGAAACTCACCATTGTGGAGGAAGAACTTGTTCATCAGCTGAACTTCTTACTGTGATCTGACACGATTCAGTTCACTGTGAACCGGTTCACAGTGAACCAGTTCATCCTGAACCAGTTCAGTTCGTCTGTGTGACTCTGTCTAAGGTTTCTGGTTTTTGCTCCTCTGCTGGATTTTCTCCTGCTGCTCTCTGCAGGACCTGCTCTCTGTTAAAGTGGAGATTATCGCTGTTACAACATTCACTATCGCCTCCTGTGGTTGGTGGCCGTCCTGTTGTGGTCTCACCTCGCCGAGATCCAGGCACGTCTTTCACTTTCACTCGGCCTGCGTGTGTGTGTGTGTGTGTGTGTGTGTGTGTGTGTGTGTGTGTGTAGATAAGACAGATTACAGCCCAGCTCATTGTGTTTAGGGTCTGACTTGTTATCCAACAGCCTGAATTTTCCCACCCGTTGTCCTACACACACACACACTCTCAATGGTTGGGTGTGTATGTGTGTCCATCAGCTATTGTAAGTTTCTATGTATAATAACATCAGCTGTGTGTGTGTGTGTGTGTGTGTGTGTGTGTTGTTATGACTGGCATTGGCCTGACAGGCCCCATTCGTCATCCCAGAGTCCTCTGCAGGATTGATAAAGAACAAAAACACAAACATAAGCGTCTGAAAATGAACTCCTGTCGGTTTAAAGACACTTTTTCAGCTCAGAGGAATGCGCCGCTGCGACGGGTTGGAAGTTCAAATCCCACTTCTGGCTGCTCCTCATCAGCTGTTTTTATTTTATCAGACTCTCAGCTTCAAGCATCGACTCTGAATGATCCACAGAAAAGTCACAAAACACTCATGTGGTCTCATAATAATCTGATTTATCTGAAACATAAATGCCTTCCTCAATAGCTTAGTGCTAAAATAGCTTCAAAGTCACATTTCTATCATCTGACTTAAAGAAGTTCGACACAATGTAACTGAATCTACATGAATAAAACCACCAGCTAATCTCCACTGTGTCCTAGTATTTAAATGAAACAATAATTTATTTTAGGAAAAAATAAAAAATTTCCAAGTTTCTATCAGATTTTGAAATAAAACTAAATCAGAAAATCAATAAATTAAAAAAGTTCAACTACAAAATGATGTTCAGGTGAAATTTCACTTATTGTTTTTTTATTGGGATTTTATGATTGTGAAGCTGAAGGAAAATACTTGGCATTATCACAAATCTTCCCCAGATCATGATGCTGCCACCACCGTGCTTCAGTAATGTGTGTTATGTAATATCCACACAGGCTGAAAAGTTTAATTTAGGTTTTACATGATAAGAGCAGCAAACAGAGTTATTACAGTCACACTATAAGAAAACATCAAGGTATTCTGAGCAAACTTTTAAAATAAAATTAATAAATAATTCACTACAAATTCAGCAAATTTCTTTCCATCTTCCTTTTAGCGCTTTAACTCCCTTTTGGAAAAGCCAAAAACCACCTGAAACAGAAAATCTGATAAATTCAATCACATTTCAGCATAAAGACATTTTGAACTGAGAAAGTTACTTTGAATTTTGACATTTCCAACCTTTTCTAATGCAATGCTTAAAAACTGTTGATAAAAAACAGGGATTCACCTTTCTTTAGTGTTTAATATATTTACTGAAACGTTTACGTTACAAAAATACAAATGTACAGAAATTACCAGTGAAAAAACAAACATAGTAATAACTAAAAATGAAAATCATTGTCACTGAAGTGATGAGCAAAGAGAATGAAATGATGTCTGAAGCTAAACGATTCCAGCTGGACCAGTGTAACTGAAAACCATCCATCTTTGAACCTGTGACGATTATTGATTAAAAAACAGAAGAAAATATTTCCAAGTCTGGTAAAAACTTGTACATTTTTACCACACTTCTCCAGAATCTGATATTCTGGAGAAAATCAGATGAATCTCACTACACATTTGATTTTCTCCAGTTTTAAATTTGACATCTTTCTTTGGGGGTAGCAGAGTTTAGGAGGGTGGAATAGAAAAGCATGCCACACTATTCAGATGGGCAATAGTTTTCCTTCCACTTTAAAACCAGGTTACTTTGTCTATGTCATAAAACATGAAGCAGTAAAGTTTGTGCCTCTAATGGATCAACATTCAAACCAACCAATCATTTTTCATTCATCCCAGATGAACTCATATTCACAGGATTCGTTCTGTGATGGAAAATGATGAACTTCCCAAACTTTTCCGAGATTGGAGTTTGCTGAATGAGAAACTTTGCTGAGTATTTTTAACTCCATGTTTGCTGAGTGTCAGGAAGTCGAGCAGCAGAAGAAAAGTTCAGATTCTGATGATGTCTGATGTTTGGCTTGATTTGACTGATAAAAGTTTCTCTGGAATCCGACTGAAGCAGAATTTCCCTCCACAGCAGGGGTGTCCAAAGTGTGGCTCAGGGGCCGAATGTGGCCGCTGGACTGATTTTATGTGGCCTGCCAGCTCACATGGAGACGGAGACTTCCAGTTTTTAATTTGGGCAAAATTATTTCAATCAAGTTCAAATGTTTGACACAACGGAAAGTTTTCATCTTTTAATAACCACACTATTTAATTTCATCGTAGATAGAAACACACCAGGTTATAAATGTTATAAATACTTTTCTGGTTTTATTTACGTGTTTTATTAAAGTGTAACGTGATTTTTAAAAAATGTTAAAGCTTAATCTTCAGATAGAAACTTGGTAATCCGTTTTCTGTTGGATTACAATTTTTTTCTCCGTCTTCATCATAATTTTTAGTTCAAATCATAATTTCTCTCCATGCGGTCGCCGGGGAGACGGAAAACAGAGAAGAAACGGAGAGAAAAGGGAGGAAAGCAGAGCAGGAGCAGAATTAGGTGTTTTCATCCATTGATTAATGGCTTTCTAAAGCAAAGCACATCGAAAGGCGCCGGCTGATCAATAAATTAACTGCCCAAATTCATCATTTTCTACAACAAAAGCTAATTATTTAGACGGCTGCAGGAAAGACAGAAAAAAACAACGTATTTTTAACAAGAGTTTATTTAGCAGAGCTTTGTATTCCTGTGTGTGAGGAGACTGCAGATTCAACAGCAGCCATGAGGAAATGCAACATTAGTGTCCTTAAGGAAGAAGAAACGGTTTCCAACCAGGATCAGTAATTAAAACGACGCAGAAACAAAAAGATGAACATCAGAAACACCTGCAGATTTATTACAATAAAAACCGAATTAATAATTAAACTTTCCTCACCTTACAGCCACACTGACCTCTCATGTAAAGATGTTTCTACATCACAAAACATGGGAGAACCTGCAGAAACTCAACTTCCACCATTATTCTTCTCCATATAGTGACCAGATTTTAATTCAAACACTTATGTTCATATATATAAGACATGTTGTAAAAATATGCAGTTGAATCACTGAGTTAAAGCCTCATCTACAGAAACTGTTCCATCTTTATTTAAAAAACCCAACAACGTTGGGCTGACTAAAGAGCTGCACAGCAAGTGAAACAAGACAAAAGTAAAAATTAAACAGAATCTGAAATCCTTCCTTGAGGCCATGAAGCAGGTTTGAAAGCTGCATCTTCTTACAGAGCACCATGTTTGTATAAAACCAGACAGAGCACATTACCAACCGTCAGCACGGTGGTGGTAGGGTGATGATGTGGGACGTTTCAGCAGTCAGAGGACCCGGTCACATGAAGTTCACCATGAACTCCTCTGGAGTCAAATGTGGGTCCGTCTGACAGCTGGAGCTTCGTCCAAACTGGGATCACTACAGCATATGGCAAGCTGATTTAACATAAAATCAGTTTCATCTGACTCCAGATATCTGAAGATTAGTTTGGAGACGCATCTATGTTGATCCTGAATAGTAATTCAAAATATCTGCATTTACATTCTGTTCATCATCTGTAATTATGATTCAAGATATCTAAAGTGTAATTATGAGTCAAAACTACATTTTTAGATATCTGAATTAAGAACTGATTTTTTTCAGCTCCACTGAGCTGTCCAACAGTTTCCTGCACAAAATAGTCAGAAAATGTCAGCATAGAGAAAGAGCTCAGCAATGTGGGACATAAAGAAAATATAAACTTTGTGAACTTGAAGACACATTGCACTTTTAAATAACTTAGAAGAGCAAAAAAAATGCAACTAGCAACCAATTAAAGAGCTGAAAATGGAGCATTTCCAGAATCATTTTGCATTTTTTTCATTAAAATTTCTAAATGCTTCATAAATCTGGGACGTTTTGACTAGACAGAATAATTATTTAAGGTAACTTTAACATAAAGGCAGTTTAGAGTTTTTATTCAAGATATCTCTAATTTATTTGGAAAGTTAAAAATGCAATTCCAGATATCTCTTAGTTAGTTTTGCTGAGTCATTATTTGCTTTTAAGTTGTCCAAAATTTAACTTAAACTAGTTGAGTTTTATAACTTGTTTAAAACTCACATATAAAAATACATTTAGGACATTTTTAATTATGACTTCAGTCATGTTCTCTCACTTTTTTCAGAACAAAACTGACAAATCTTAACTTTTAGAGATGAGACAATTTAATTGTTGCTATCTGAAATATACGTGTCAGAAAGTCAATTTATTGCAGATATCTTCCTATAAAGATACCTGCAATATATGTAATGAAATATTTACAAATTAAAAATAAATCTGTTGTAATTTATGCTAGTCTGAATGCAATTAGAGGAAAACTAACTAATAGTCATGAATCAATTTCAGATATCTGGAATGGAAGAGTGGTGAAGATTATTTTATGTCAAAACGGCCTGCCATAGAACTGCAGCTCTACCTCAGGAGTTAAAGGTGGTTGAAATGGTCCAGTCAAAGTCCAAAGTGAATTTTAAAAACAAAACCATGCAGAATGTGTTTATATTCAAATATCATGGTGAAAATAAATTTTCTGCCTTTTGTCCAAGCAGCCAGCAGGAATGCAAAGGGAGTCGGGATGTTTGAGGGAGTCGGGATGTTTGAAGGAGTCGGGATGTTTGAGGGAGTCGGGATGTTTCAGGGAGTCGGGATGTTTAAGGGAGTCGAGATGTTTCAGGGAGTCAGGATGTTTAAGGGAGTCGGGATGTTTCAGGGAGTCGGGATGTTTCAGGGAGTCGGGATGTTTGAGGGAGTCGGGATGTTTGAGGGAGTCGGGATGTTTGAAGGAGTCGGGATGTTTAAGGGAGTCGGGATGTTTCAGGGAGTCGGGATGTTTGACCGTTTCATGGCGATAAATCAGTGATGAGGTTTATAAGCTCTGTTCATTCAAGCCTTATTGGTTTAAATCCGTGAGGGTTAGTTAGTGCACAAGTGATGGTAATTCAATTAAAACATTTGCACTTCATTTACACTCTGCAGCCAACACACACACACACACACACACACACACACACACACACACACACAAACACACACACACACACACACACACAACCAGGCGCTGTAACCTTGGTATATACACACACACAGGTTTAAGCTGTGTCACATTCATTTACATAGCAGCATGTTGTTAAGGTCCTGCTTTGACATTCAATTAAAATGTTTACATTTCTGCTTAATTAATTTGGAGAAAGGTGGCAGGAAAAGACGAATGGACGGGCTTCTTTGACAGGAGGCCGATAACTCTCCATGCGCATGTGTGTGTGTGTGTGTGTGTGTGTGTGTGTGTGTGTGTGTGTGTGTGTGTTAAGGTCACGCCAGGCTGACTATTATAATTCATCTCTACAGACATGTATTCATCAGGGACTTATATTCTGTTTTTCAGCTTTATTTCCTGCAGCTGAAGCCGAGCCGTTTTAAAGGCTGCTGAAGCTGGACTGCACTCGGCTGCTCCCGCCTCATTATTCTTCCTTTAATGTTAAAAAACAACCAGATGAATATTGATCATACGGGGAAAATGCATTTATTTGTCAGTCAGGAAGGAAAATTAAAAGTCGTTGAGCTGCAGGCTTGTTTTTCTTGTTTGTGTATTTACATTTCATATTCAATAAGTCACTCAGTTTTACAGCAAACGGTTCTGAAGAGACGTTTTCATTCTGGCTTCTGTCTTTAAATACATGTTTTTGTTTTTCACATAAACACTGTTTTATGAAACAAATTGTAAAAAAGGTAAAGGTATGAAACTGAGTTCAGAATATGAATAATTTGCTTTCTTAATGTGCAGAATCATGACTTCTAACCTGTAATGGGATTAACAACAGATTACTGAATCAGTGGAAGAAAATGCACCAAAGATTAAACCTGGAAGATCAAGTTTACAGCAGTGGATCAGGTTATTTATGGGATTTACTTACAAAGATTATAGTCAGAGTGACAGGAAATAATGATGCAGCATTTAAGACCTTCAGCTGGTTGTCTGAATAATTTCAATATGTTTTTTTACAAAGAAAATAAAACTATGCTGAAATAATAAGCAGAAGTACTTATACCAGCCAGTAGGGGGCGATTTAAGAAATAAAAAAATTCTACACATGGCTTTAGTCTCAAACAAAAAATATATTTTACACTACTTGTCTTTATTTAAGAATATTTGAACTTTTCTGCATATAATTTAAGTTTTTACTTGGAAAATATGTACAGAAAAATTAAAATAAACTGAATTTGAGGATGTTTATTCAGTGAGGGGAAAGAACTAATGGATTCTGCTCATCATTCCTTTTCTGCACCCGGTTCAACCAGCCGGGTTGGTCAGTCTGATCCAGGAACTTTTCAAAATGTCTGAGTTTTTAGGCAGGAATGTGCTCCTCTTTTGTTCCATCTATAATGACTCTAACATTGCTGCTTTCAGGGAGTCTGGAAACGTTGACATCATTTACGTAAATACGATGTTCCAAATTTTGATATTTTTGTGTAAATTTAAACAGTTCTGTAATATTTAACCTATAACTGTCTGAGTGCTGCCCCCTTCTGGTCAGACTGCAGTTGGATATTCCTATTACAACAGTACAGCTTGGTACAGCTACGTCACAGATACGCCCCCTGGTGGCGGGTCAGGAGTTGAACTGGTGAGCGTTGATTGATAGCATCATCTTTGCTCATGTGTGATTCACATGTGTTACTGACTGCTGCACATTTCCAAGTTTTCACCATAAAAGTTTCCAAGCAGAAAAAAGTTGCTGGATTTGATGGTATTTGCTAAAAAAAAAAAAGTCCAGAAGGTCTGAGAAGTTAATAAGTTGGCAACAGAGATTCTCTGGTACCGACCACAATCTCCTCACCTCAACCCCACACTTGGAAACGCCCTCTGTATTTTGGCTCCACCCATTCCTGTAGGATTTGTTGAAATTTGTCAGGCAGCGTGGCTACGGTTTCACAGAGGGAGTTAATTTCACTTTAAAAGCGACTATAAAGAAAACCCCGTCATGTGGTGGTGACTCAGTATCCAAGAGTTTGAGTCCAGGTGCCCTGCCATGTCACAGAGCCCAATAAGCAAGGCGACTAAATCCAAGATGCCTGAAAATCTGTGTCAGTTTGAGTCTGTGTGGTTTTACTCATTGTTAACATTGGGTCCGTTTCCCCTGAATATTTACTGAGATTAAAGGTTATAATCTGCTGCTGTAATTAAAGGTACAGCTTTCTGCATGTCTATCTGGAGGCCAATAAATATGATGGGCGCTTTGATGGCAAAACTGTTGAAACAGTTGGTCAAATGCAGAAAAATGTTAATATTTTTTATGCTTTCCAGCCAATAACATAGACAAACCAGATGGAAACATGGAAAATAAATATTAATAAGCTTTTTTTCTGTCATGAAGAATAGAAAATAAACTGGTTGCTACATAACTATGTTATTGTTATAAGCCAGATATAATCTCCTGATTCTGAATTATCTATGTTATACTGATCTTTCTGTCCTTTTTATGGGCGGTTCTGTGATCCGGGCTCGGCCCACCGGGGGGAGTGGTCTGCTGATGTAGCCGGTCTGGATCGCAGTCTCCCGGCCCGCCGTGATCCTCCTTCCTCTCCCCCGCCTCGTCGTCACTTCCAGCCGGGCCGCTGACGGCGCTCAGTCCGGCTCTGAAACCATGGAGCTCCGGTCGATCTTCCCCGCGCTGCTCTGCCTCTCTGCCGCCGCGCTGCACTCGGTGAACGGCGCCTTTTCACGAAGAGGACCGAAGGTCACCGAGAAGGTGGGTGACACATTTACCGCATCTGTTTTACCGCACAGCCGCGGGATCTCCGCGCGTGGCAAAGAGCCGCGCACAGTGCAGGTGCGAGCGTCGAAGCACGCGCACCACGTACTCGCGCACATACAGGTGAAGCGAAGGTCCCGCATCAGCAGAAAGAAGCAAACCGTTATTTTATCTCTCCGTGGATCTGCAGATTCTTCCAGAACATCTGGGCCAGCCCACGCACAGACACGCACACTCACAGCTGTACACGTGTCCACTCAGATTATGCTTAATGCGCAGTGCGTCTGCCTGCAGGGCATCAACGCGCGCGCACACACACACACACACACACACACACACACACACACACACACACACACACACACACACACACACACACACACACACACACACACATTTATATTACCTCATGGGGAGCACTGAACCACCATTTCTGAAAGGCTTAAAAACAATTATAATTGCTAAATTTATTTAAAAATCTAATAAAAATAACTATGAGTTGAAATTTTGGAAAGAGTCCTATTGAGATTTTGACCTGACTGTTTGCAACCTCCCAAGACACACACACAGAAACACACTGCTCGCTTTCTGACCCTCATAAAAATAGAACTAAAACTTGCCTGAAGTCACTGGAGGAATGAACGGTTCAGTGGACTGATTCAGTTTGTGTAAAGAAGCAAACAGAATGTTATAAAAGCAGCCAGGGCCAGATATAGCCGGGAAGCTAGAGCCGGTTTTAATTTCTGGATGCATGTAGAGTACAGTTAATTAATAAGAGGTATAATAGAGGTTCCTATGCTTTGTGCATGTTAAAAAGGAAAGAACATTTCTAAAAATGTCATCAGTTATATGAAAAATGACCCGAGTAACTCCACCCTGCAGAGCTCTTCTTCACTACCTGCTTTTAAAAGTCATCTAAAAAAAACAAAAAACAAAGGGCTGGACTTTTAAATATACATTTTTATCAACTAACTGCATAAATTTTAACATGTTAAAAGTTTTAATGCAAATAATCACTTTTTTGTTGCTTTGTTTTTATTAACATATAAAGGGTCTTGTGCAGGAACCTTTGCATTCACATGTTTCTGGTACACCAGCACATATTTACTTACGACAGTGATAGAAGACAAAACCGCTTCTCTTGGCTCACTGGGGGTTCATTTCTGCTTCAACACCATCTGATTGGTCGTTGGAAAAGACTTTTGTTTTGTCCAGTCTCCTTTTAGTTGTGCTAAAAAGAGATAGCGCATCAGCAAAAAGGAGTTTTGAAGTGAGAATGTGTTTTTATTTTGTCCATATGTTTTTGATTAATTGCGATTAATTAATTGCACACCCTGCAATTAATCCAATTAAAGATTTTTATTGAGTCCCACCACCATGTGATGTGGATGGACTTTTGTTTTTCATAATTTTCAGTTACTAGTTTTTTGGTTTTCTGCTAAAAAAAAAAATCAAACAAAATTTCTCTATAACTTCTAATATAAATAAGTTTTATATAATATTGTAGTATGGAACCTTGTGTGCTGTAGTTAGTTTATGTGAGCAACTTGTTTCTTGATTTATAAAGACCTCACTTAAAAATAAAAACAGAAAATTATGGATTATCAATTAAGGTTCCTAAAATCTGAATTATCTGGGGTGGCAATAATCATAAAGGAGGTTTTATTAACTGGAATATTTTCTTTAAGTGGGATTTTTTTTCCTATTCTGAATTAATAACTGGAGTAGTCCTGATTTAAAAACAGCTGAGGTTAAAAGCATTACTTAAATGGGGTAGTGTGGAGTAGTTCTACAAAGTTAGTATGTTACACCCTCAGGAGAAAGTTTAGAAACATGAAACCATTTGAAAACCTCAAAGATTTTTGAATCAATGCTTTTAAATATTTTTACTTTTGTTTATTTCTCACTAATCAAAGATGCAGATATATGAGTTTTAATAAGACTCTGTGTTTTCTGTGCCCAGGTGTTTTTTGACATCACAGTGGGAGGTCACGAGGTGGGGCGCATCGTCATTGGTCTGTTTGGAGAGGTCGTCCCTCTTACTGTTAGCAACTTCGTCGCCCTGGCAACAGGAGAGGTACTGTACTGCAGCACTATAAAACATTTTTCATGCAGTGGTAAAAATTTAAAAAAGGATTGAAAAGTTTCAATCCAGACTAAAATTAATCTGGATTTTTTTTCTTTTTTTTTTTTCAGAATAAATCTGTTTCAGATTGAAACTCCAGTTTCCTTCAAACAAACTTGTTGGTTTTGGAATAAAAACTCTTATTGCATCCAGTTCTGCTCTGCTGTCCTAAATTTTATAAAATGCTTGGCAATATTAGCTATTTTTCTGCTTTTTCCCACTTTGAGTTTAGGGTTATTTCTGGCAGGTGTTATCAGTGATAAAATCTATATTTTTCTGACTTGTGGCAGCAGAGGAGCTTTCACAGCTAACAGTTTCATCTGCGTCTCTGTAGAAAGGTTACGGCTACAAGGGGACAAAGTTTCACAGAGTCATCAAGGATTTTATGATCCAGGGAGGAGACTTCACAGCTGGAGACGGAACCGGAGGTGGGAACGAAACCCAAATTAACCATTTTAATTTACAAAGAAACCACAAAAGTCAAACAAATCAATCTGATTTCAGCAGAATTTACCGGCTCTGTAAATGTTACACTATAAGAACACACAGTTGGATCTTAGGTTCTCATTGTTTGTGTTAAATTAGATTCAACTCTGCACTTATCTGCACTGATAAGTTTTAAAACTCACCAAGCTCTACTTTTCATGTCACAGGTCACAGCATCTATGGGACAACATTTGCAGACGAAAACTTTAAACTGAAGCATCTAGGAGCCAGCTGGGTAAGCACACGCTCTGGACCTCAACCCGGAAAATAGATCTGGACCAGGAAGTTTGTTTGTTTTTCACAGACTTAGTTTTAACAGCTGTAATGTGTGTGTGTGTGTGTGTGTGTGTGTGTGTGTGTGTACCAGGTGAGTATGGCCAATGCTGGTCCGGACACCAACGGCTCTCAGTTCTTCATCCTGTCCACCAAAGCACCGTGGCTGGACGGGAAGCACGTGGTTTTCGGCAAAGTTCTGGACGGGATGGTGGGTTGAAGCCTGGAGCGCTGCTCCATGTGTCTGTTATCAGTAGAACCAGCGACCCGATGTACTGACTGGTTCCTGTACCAAACCCTTTTTATGTCTCACAGTTCAGCTACAATCATTAAACGAAAGGATGTTCCAGAACATTAATGCCTTAAAAAGACATTAATCTGTCAGATTAATGTCACCGAGACACGGATTTGTTTTGGGCCAACAAATTATTAAACAAATTTGTTTAATAAACTTTAGATTTTTAATCAGGTTAACAATATTATTGACATATTTTTTTGATAATGGAAAATGTTAAATAAAACAGTATTTGTCTTTTTTAGAACCAAACTTTTATAATAAACATGTTACAACATGTTTGTTCAGAAACTTTTACTGCAAAACCAACTTTTATTGCTGCTTTTATTTAACGCTGCTAAATATAGCATTCGAAATAAACTGATGCAAATTCTGTTATTATGACTTAGAATAAATTTGTTCAACCAAGTCTAAAATAATTTGAAAACTAGATTCCTTAATTTGAACACAGCGAATGTGCAAAAATGTTTTTAAATTTTGGATCTACAATGATTAACATCCCTTTAGTAGCTTGATTTATTTTTCTTGGCCCATGAATATATTTGATTCAACGATTTTAGCCATCTGAAAGTTTGGACGGCCGTGGTCTGACCTGCATGTGCGTCTCTGTTGGCAGGCCGTCGTTCACACCATCGAGCTTCAGGACACCAACGACAGAAACCTGCCGCACACCGAGTGCGTCATCGTCAACAGCGGCCGGATCCCGGTCAAAGAGCCGTTCGTGGTGGAGGTGGACGGCTGGTAAATCCTGGAGGACAAACACTCAATATCAATGTGAAACTCCATTTCAGTTAGTGCCAAACTAATTTTTTCAATTCATTTGCATAATTGAACAGTAATGCCAACACATTGGACAGGATATATGTTTGGATTTTCTTAGAGAAACTTAGTTTTTCATTTGAGCTACTAAAAAAGTGGAACTATTCCAACAATGGAATTAAATGCAAGCAAGCTAGCATAATAGACACATCACTGAAACGCTAACTAAATCCTAGCTAATGTTAGCATGTTTACATGGTCCAAAGGTATGCTAGCCTGCTAGCTGTGGGACAGATGTTAACACATGGAAAAGCAGCTAGCAAATTTAGAATCAGTGCAGGTTTGGCCTTCACATTAACTAGTTTGAGGTTCAGTTGGCACAAATTCACAAATTGTTCATGCTAATATATCAAATCATATCAAGGATGAATATTATAAAACAACTTTTTTAATGCTTGTAAAAGTTTAGTTAAAACCACGTCAGGCATCATAATACAGTTCCCAAATATTTCTCTTGTCAAAAACCAGAATAAAAAGAAACTAAAATTCAGATTGAAAAATGTGATATTTTGCATTACAGTCACACTGAAAGCACTACAGGCTGTTTTAATATTTAATCCCTTAAAGTTTATATATTTTTAAAAAAAATTAGCTGTGGCGCAGGTGTTAAATAAAATACTAATAGATTATGAACAACCAATACAAATTATTTATGATGCAAATCAGCGACATTAGGCATCATTAGGTTGAACAAATAACATTTTCTCATCAGGAATGATAGGACTCTTGGTATGTGTAGAAAATGCATCAATAGGCAATTCGGCTGCATTAAACCCCAAAATGATTGAAGGTAAAGGGCGTGAAAATATAAGCTCCATTTGTGAAAGAGCCATTTTATGCAGAATGCACTGGTTGGAACATGACATGCCATCTACACGTTATGCAGTTGTGTTATTAATAAAAGAGCAAGCATGTTTCTATAAAAAATAGGGCTTATATATATATGCATGTTAATTACATTTTACTGATGCACCAGATTATTATACTTTATTATTCTCATATGTTCCCATAAGATATTTATTTACAAAATCTGAACAGAAACAATCTAGAAACCTTTTGCATTGGACACAAATTAAAATAAATTTTATTACTATATGTGAGCACATATTCAACCTCTGTCACCAATTAGTTTTATTTCATACATATTTATCAGGTTCTCTGTAGTTTATGTTGGCATGCGTGTATATTTAGTATCTGTGTAAACATAAAAGAGGCTGTTTTACTTTTTTACAGAGGATATTATTATAAATGCAGGGATGATGCTGTGAAATAATAAAACCCAGAGTTGTAGCTCTATGTGCCAAATGGTTCAGCTCTATGAAACACATCTTATGCATTTAATCTGAACATATGAGACGTTCAATGCCTGTTTTTAACTTTATGCCAAAAAACTCAGTAGCAAGTGTCAAATGTTGTAGCAAAACCATCTTTATTGCATTTTTAAAAAGATTATGCATCATATCATGTTTACTAAAACTACAGCACAAATTTGCATAAGTGAATATTAAATAATGTGGAATGAGTGATGATCTGTCAGTACTGATGTTTACTGTTGCATTATGTCAATGACTGTGATCCTGTTGGATAAAAAGACTGTTATTTTTATCCAACTGTTTTTATTACCTGAAAGACTTGTTGTAGCATTAATGCAAAAATGTTTATCCTCATATTGAATCTTATGCAGTTTATCAGAAGAGCAAAGTGCCAACCACTGATGTTTTTCTACAATAAAACTGGATTATTCTAAAATGATTTATGTGTCACAGATTTTTTTTTTATTTTTAAATGTAATTCACCTTTCAGTTACTTTATCCATTATTGAGATGCTGCTGCTGTTTATGTCTTTTTGGCACTTCCTATTCAAATATTTAGCTCAGAACTAAATAATTAGCTTCTGGCAAATGAACTACTTAGTGGCTAAACAGTTAATCTGTTGTACAAGAAAAGAGGAAAATAAATGATTATCTTCATCACTTCAGTCTCGCCAGCTGGAGTAGAGGTCTGTAATAGCCAGCTTTTATTTTGGTAGTCCACTTTTGACTGAATTTGCATGTAACCTAAATATGTAGCCATGATGTAAATATTTAGCTTTTAATTAAATGTTTATGTTTAGTTGAAACTGTGATATTTATAAATTAATTAATAACTTGGTGAAAATATAACTTTGAAAGATGAACCACTATTTTTTCTCTTGCTGCTGATTACTTAGCAATAATTTTGGCTAAATAACCAAAATTATTGCTGTTCATTTTTGATTGTGTAACTTTACAAATGGAACCACTTACATGTAAGCGTCATATGGATGTAGAAGGACAAAATTTGCTTTCGTCTATATCAGTTTCGAACATGCAATGAAAAATCAAAACACTTTTTACATCCTGACTTTATCCTGACTAAACCAGACCCATCTGGGTCGGCCCAGTGTTTGCTGGGAAAGCGGCGCCGTTAAACGGTGTAATTATCGTCTGTAAAAGGTGAAGCTGCAGAGGCTGACAGCTGATCTCTCAGCGCTGACACCAAAGCGCTGCTAATGAGAACTACAGCGGGTGATTTGTTTTCCCCTGTTCTACAAAGCACACACGCACACAGAAACAAACGGATAAACGGATCCGAACGCAGACACGGCAGGAAAACGGCTCCGAACACAAAGGTCAGAGCGGAGCAGAAATCTCTGGAGGAAGACAGGAAGTCAACAGAAAACAGTGAAATATATCACAGCTGTCTGATCAACGCAGCCCCCTGCGAAAAGCCACATCTTAACATGTTAACAACAACAAAAACAGCTAAAGGTGAGCAGATTCCTGACTGGGAGTCCAGCGTAAAGCATCCAAACAAACGTTAGCGGCTTGCTACATTCATTTTTACTGAAGGCCAACTTATTTACCCAGCGGCTGTCAGCTGGATGAGCTGCAAGCAAGTAAAATCAAAACCTCATTAGAAAATGAGTCGGAACAAATCACATATCCTCCATTTACTGGTGTGAAACACAGAAGGTGATGTTAATATCTTTCAACAAAATCTTTGCCCGTTTTCTCAGGTTTCTCCGGGTGCAAAGCCGGTTCCTCTGCGCTCCTGCTGTGGAAATTATCCTGCATGTTTGTATTTCACTGAAGTGCTGAATGGATGCTGTTGCCAGTTTAATGCCAAGTTCCCATTGTCCCAACAATGATCTCATTTTTTATTCAAGAACTGACTGGTCAGTCCACACCAGACCTACAACGGCCAAATAGATACATGGTAAAAACTCAGAAACGTTTAGATTAATCTCAGAAATTTTGTAGAAAAAAACTTTGAAATTTCTATGATCCATGTTGTAAAATTCCTCTTTCGTCATTGGAAAAACACTACGAGTCGTTACTCTCACTGGTCTCACGTTTGTCCTGGTTGTATTTACCCAGAATGCCCTGCTCTGTAGTCCACTTCCTGCTTTTGGATTTACTGTCGTTACAAAATGTCACATCTTCTTTATCTCTTCTAATAAACTGAAATATTAGCAAAATTGTTGCAAATTTTAAACAAAAAATATTAAAAATCTATACATCTTTTCGAAAAGGAGTAAACTGAAGAAGCTGATAAAAAAAAACAGGGTTTACATTTTAAAGTGCAGGGATTCATTTACACTTTTTGTCTTTTGAGACGGAGAAATCTGGATTAAATGTTACAAACTGAGATAATAAGCTGAACATGGAGATAGTTCTAAGACTTAAAACAATAACATGAGTTGTTGCAGCTCATTTTCAGCTTTGATAACCAGGTGATTGAATATTATACAAATAATTTCAGGTTCTCAATTCAGAGGTGGCATAACTGAAAACCACTGATGTACAGTAACCTTCGTCTGGCTGAAACATCTCAGCTCGCTCGTTTTTTTCGAGCTCTTTGTTTTTTTTATTTTTTATTTTTTGCAGAGGACCACCAGGTGAGACGAACGGACAGACGGACAAACTAGCGCCTTCAGCGTTGGGAGAATATCGGAGAAAGCCCTCTCCGTTTGTCAGCCGACATAACAAGACTGTCTCAACTCGGAGATGGAGGGCAGAGAGGGTTTATGAGGACGACGGAGAGAAACAGAAAGCAACGGAGAGGAGGAGGAGAAAGTGGTGGTAGGTTTTTAAATGGTCCAGAGGGATGAATGTCGAGGAGGAAGAGGAGGAGGAAGAGGAGAAGCTCCCACAGCGACTGCAAGTTGTTATATTGGGGATCCGTTAGTGGATCAATGAAAGAAGAGAGAATGAAAGAGGAAGAAGGAGGCAGAGTGGAAGGATGACAGGCCTCATTACCACCAAACCGCAGACAGTGATGCCTCTGTGTGTGTGTGTGTGTGTGTGTGTGTGTGTGTGTGTGTGTGTTTGCCCATTTTTAAATGCATAGTGTGTGTTTTCATATGTTCACAAAAACATGTTTACATGCAGGGTGCTTGAGCTTATATGACTGTTTTCCATTGTAACTTTGAGTGTGTGTGTGTTTATGTGTGTGTGTGTAGGTGTGCATGCGGGTGTGCGTGTGTGTTTATGTGTGTGTGTGTGTAGGTGTGCATGCGGTTGTGTGTGTGTGCGTGTTCATGTGTGTGTGTGAGATCCCTGTGGGTCTCTGCGAGAGCAGCAGAGGATGATGGGACAGAGTTGTTTAAAGGTCAGCAGCAAACATCATCAGATTGAGAGCGCCGCTCAGAGAACGATCAGTTAACCGACACACAACCCCAAAGTGAAGCAGAGCGGCGCTGCAGCCGCGGCTCCAAGCTGCAGCCCAGGATTCAGATTCATCTCAGCCAATTCTGCAGCTCAGATTAGGAATTACGACATTTTATACTCATTTTACAGAATTAGAAACACAAGAAAACTCCTAGACAATAAAACCAGAGGACAGCAGCAGATGGAGCATCATTTGCAGAACTAAAACTCTGTTGGTTAATGAAACTTTAAGGCGGAGGTAATATTATTTGTAATGTCACTGTGTGAAGTATCCTACTATTATGATATGATCTGAGAGAAATTAGACAAAAGCTGTAATTTTCTCACAACGGTCATCAAAACAGCTTATTTGTTACAAAGAACAAACAGATTAAAAATGAAACTGAAATTAAAACAATAAAAAATACAAACTTGAAATTAACTTGTAGAGGGAACGAACAGATTCAGAGGAAAACATTGATTACAGTCAGTGATTCCTCAAAATCCGCTGATCCACTGTCACCTGGTAATCCGGTAGTCGGAGCGTCTGGGAACCAGGACGTCATCATCTGCTCCACCTCCTGCTGCTGTCCTTATTTCCCTCTGCTTTGATCAAACCAACCTGTTCCCCTCCTGGCCTGTGGGGGCGCTGCACTAAGAACCACTGAAGGAAACAACAAGAAAACCTCTGAAGACACTGAGACCAACTTCCTTCTTCACAAAATGGAAGTCAAAAATGGACTGCCGATGGCAGCCACACTGTGAATCTCCTCTCACAGCTGTGAGGCTTTTCACCTGTGTGGATTCGCAGATGAATGTTAAAACTACCCGTATGAATGAAAGCCTTTCCACACTGGTCACAGAGATAGAGCTTCTCTCCAGTGTGAATGCGTTGATGGATTTTCATATGTTTCTGCCGTCTGGAATATTTCAGACATTTGTCACAGCGGTGTTTTTTCTGCAGGCTCTAGGTGGGCTGATCCTGCTGTCCATCGCTGGGACAGTAAATATGATCCACAAACACTTTGATAGCCAACAGCTTTTCTGCTTTGCATCCTAACACATCTCCCTGTTAGTTTAATAATTAATTAATTTAATAATTTTCTTTAAGTGCAAGAGAATAAATGTGCCTTTCTCTCAGGTAGACTGGAGGTCTGGAACCTGTGGCCCCACCAGTGGCTCTTTGGACATTTTATAATGGCTCCTAATAATGTGGTTAAAAACGCAGAAAAAACAACTGATGGTCTTTTAATCTAGGCATAATCACAAAAGTACATTTTAATAAAATGGTGAATGATGAAGTTAGATAGTGCTTTTCCAGTCATTTTGACCACTCACAGCAGTTCACACACTCACATTAATACATCAGTAGGGGTTAAGTGTAGAGGTACATCACCATGAACCAGGAGGAAGCTGGAATCGAACCAACAACCTTCTGATCACAAAACAAACACTCCACCCACAGAGCCACAGTCATCAGCAATACATGACAGGACAACTGCACTGAATTATCTGATTGAAAATGGATACAGGAGCTGATGTCACTGCTGTCCCAGAAACATTGTATTCTCAGCATCAACTGGCAAATTAGAGAAACCAAAGAAAATCCTGCAGGAACCGGGAGGCAGCGAATTGAAGGTGAAAGGCATGTTTACAGCAACAACAGTGTTAGTACTAAGGAGGATATTTATATACCTCCAGATCATTCCTCTTTAGGTCAAAAGATAATTTCAGTTTTGTTTCTGTTCAACTGAACAGTTGATTCACTCATGTTCTGAGGTGGGCAGTTGAGGGTTTTTCCTAAGGAAGCCGGTATAAGGAATGACGTAGAGCATGCGACCCATGCAGGATTCGATCCTGGGTGTCCAGCATGGCAGTCGGAGTTCCTGAATCGATGTTACGCCACAACCAGGTGGGGAAACATCTGAGGAATATGAACTGGAGACTCACCTCCCGATGGGGGGAAAGAAACCAAACTAAGGTCCTGTTTGGCTTCCAGATGCAAACCAACAGCCTGGTGCTGACCAACCAGCTGGGTGTTGTGACCATTGATAGGCAGCAGCCTTTTCTAGACCTATTGAG